AAATTCATCCATGGATTTCTTTCACGAGTTTCCGTTGTCATGACTACACTGAAAAACATTTTTAATCACACGGTATGTTTCTTTGAGGTATATTTTTGGGGAGGGGCGAGGTTGCAGAAAGAAAACTTGTACATTGAGGATTCGTTTTTGAATGTTTGCAGTTCCAGGGTCCAAAAATATTGTTGAAAACATTTTGCGAACTCTTCCAAAAGTATGACAATTAAATCCGATAATCAAAATACTGTATTCGGAGAAAGAAGGTTTTTAAAGAATTCCAATACCCGTCTAAGTAAAGAAGGAAAAATTATTCTGTGACACAGTTTGTGGATGAACTGAATGGTGATTGGATCCTACAAACGTAGACACAAACAAAATCCATAGCAAAAATATTTATTTACAAGAAAGAGCGTACTGACAAAATATAAACAGAAATCGTGGTCACAAGAAGCAAGAAAAAAAAAACAAGGCATAAACAAAAAGCGCTTTCAAAAGGCAAGGTAATAGTAATGACAAGAGTCCCATTACATGAAAACAAAACAAGCTCAAAGACAAAATAATGTCAATACTTACCGTACCAAGGAGGGACCGGAGAGCAAAACAACAAGGATAGAAAACAACACCTGCGCATGTGCAGCAAGCAAGGTCAACAATCCAACAGAAATTTGACAATTAGGTAGTCTTAAATACATGGCGAAATGATGACACATTGGCAGCAGCTGTGCACGCTGGAGGGAAGACCCTCCTCTGCCACCTGCTGGAGACACACAAGAATAGAATCATGACATTGAGGCTTACACAGTAACGGAGCCATTTCCAAAAATGTACATTTGTTTTCACATATTTGCCTTTTTAGCTGCTAAGGTAGTTTCTTAACACTCAATATCCATCCATCCATCCATCCATCCATCCATCCATCCGTTTTCTAATCTGCTAATCCTCACAAGGGTTGCGGGCATGCTGGAGCCAATCCAGGCTGTCTTTGAGCAGTAGCCGGGGGACACCCTGAATTGGCGGTCACAATATAAATTTTATTTTTATATTTTGCCAAAGCCAATCAATAGCATTTGTGTAATAATCAATTTAGAGATAAAAAAAAAGAACTACAATACATCCCATTGTCTTTATAACTGAAGAAGGTAATACACAAACGTGACCTGTAGTTTTCAGGCTCTGAAACACTTTTTGTCAAGTAACAGTTTTTAGTTGAATAAGTCACAATACAGTTTTGTACAAGTCATCCTTAAAAGTGCTACTAGAACATCGAATTCTAAACTTGTGCCATTTTTTTTTTAAAGAGATTCAGCAGTCAGTGCAGAACAGCAGGGGCAACACTAAGACGTCGGATGTGATTCATCAGTTAGAAGTTCATCTCAGTGGGGATCTCTCCACAGGAGCCAGGGCAGTTGGACGCATAACCGTCTTGTTATTTACGCCCACCTCTCTTTTTGAGGAGAAATTCCAATAAACCAAATCATTTGGATTCTGTTTGTTCGTTTTTTTTTTTTTTTTCCGCTGCCAATGTCCCACGAGCTACAATTTAAGTTCAATTTAGTGTTGAGCAGGGAGGGATTCAATGTGAGGCATCAACCACTGAGGTCGACTCCCTTCACAACTATTTTGTAGCAGCGTAGAGCATCACATTTGAATTCCGTTCCTTGCTCAGGTGAGCCATAGAGACTTGTTGGGGGGGGGGGAGCCTAAAGTTCCTCTAAGTCACCATTGTAAACCATTCCCAATTGCCTTACCTAGCTAAACAAAGCAAGCAATAGGGGCCAAAAGTGAAAAAATAAGTACCGTATTGCTAGTCCACCCCAGTAGTCTGACAGAGACAGATAATTGGCATGCGCCAATCTCATGCACGGACCCCAGTGAGTCAACCAGCCCTATTTTCATTCCGGGTCCAAGTCTAGCGCAAAACGCACTCTAACTGTGTGCATAGGTGGCGTTTTCTTTCTTTTGGTGTTTTGCTCAACTTTGCGATGGCAAAATTGGGTGTCATGGGCGTTTGCACTTTTGCACGCCATGGTGGGATGGAATGTCATTTGCATAAACATTCTAAACTTCAAGCGGTACGGCCCGCACGCCGAAGTTTGGTGTTCTTAACAGAAATTAGACTCTCTGGAGCTCGTGCATGACATTGACATGTCAATTGCAATACCTCCCCTCTCGGACGATAGTCGTCCGTGTGTGATATGCAATTGTCGCTTACACTTCCCAATAGAGATGGGGATGCTATTAAAGTTTTATTAAGATGATAATGATTTTTCGTTAAATGAATTAATTTCTACGGTGAGTCTGAGGAATTATCCCACGCTGGTATCATATTTATGAAATAAATACCATAAGGTCCACCACACACGCCCACAGAGTGCCAAATCTGGCAGCCTGGACCTCGATTAAATACACCAAAATTGCCTTGTTCCACCTTTTACATAATTTATATATTTTATTTAAATAAACCGCCTTTCAGTCAGTCTAAAATTGTGGCTACTTTTTCTCTCCAAATTGTGAGATGCGACAGGGGGCAAGGCAGAAACACCCGCTGTTGCGTAGCCCATCAACCAAATTCACAAACACGCTGACCTAGATAGACCATTGCCCCAGCACGAAAACAGCACTGCGTCTGTTTTAAGGCGAGCGCAGATTACTTTCTGTCATCAAATTATCAGATGCATCGGGGGCGAGGCTGGTTCATGTGCCGGCATGCCCAGGCAGGTGCGAGACGGTCCCAAACATGCTAGAAGAGATGTGCGCTGGTACAAAAATTAAGTTACGCCCATTTTTACGCCAGGTGCACGGGTGCCAGACTAACAAATTAAGACCCCCTGCATCTTTATTCTCATAACATTTTTCTCTGAAAAGTGACACTTATTCCTAATATGTACTGTTAAAGTATGCATTTGTATATTTATTCGCACGATATTATGGCATTATCATAAATTCTTCACATTATAACTTGCGTCTCTTCACAATATTAATCAAATTAGATTACACTTGAATTTTTTAATGGCTATGTTTTTTTTTTCATAACATTCTGCCCTAATGCTTGTGACCAAAAGATATTACCTTTATTATTCCAAGATGATTTTTTTTTCTTGCAACATGACCACCATTGCATTAAATCAAACAGATACTCAAAGGAAAGAAACAAACAATGGCATCGCTAGGCCATTACCTCCCCACCGCGAAAACTCCTAATCTCACTCAGAGTTTCTAAATGATAGCAAGGAGGATTTTCTCTGTGTGGTTTGCCCGTATCTCTTCCTGGGCTTCCTGTCGCTGATCCTCATTATTTAGTCCTGCTGTTTTGTTCTGCTCGCCACCATCCTGCGGAGGCATATTGCGATCCAACCTCGACGGGTGATTGGAGGCAGCATCTGGTTTAAAACGAACAATTTGGGATTCCAACCATCAAAGTGAGCTGTTGGGAGCATTCACCAAACCCACAAAAATTCAACAGCACTCTTACTTTTCTCTGGCACCAAAGAAAGTTTGCTTGAAGTCACTCTCTGAGGAGAAAACTCTTTGCTTATTTATAATTTTGGTTGAAAGCACATCTCCTTTGGCAGTGGCTCCATAATGCAATGGGACAACAAACAGCTGGGCTTGGTCTGTTCCTCAGCATCATCACGCCACTGCGTGTGAAGCCCAGGAATGAGCCCACTAACTGTCAAAATGTGGTCAAGAGGGAAAAAATCAAGATAAAGCGACTATTGTCGGTTGCCGTTCATTGTCATGAACTATTTAATTAGAGTTCCCGGTGATCGGATGCTGATGTCAGCTGGCTTTGGGAAAGGCACCCTGGACTTTAGTCACCAGGCAATCTCAGGGTACATGTAGACAAACAACCATTCATGCTCACAGTCACAATGCGGCACCTGGCTGCCAATTTTCATTCACCCTTTGTTAATTGTTTGACCCCACACACCCCTACTCCCCCCAAAAAAAAAGTCTGAAATTAAGTTGAAGTTTGCCTCAAAGAACTTGATCATGACAGATGGCCCTTCTCGGTTTTATGACAGATGTCTTGATAGGTTTGTTAGGCACTGGCATGAAGCAGGTGTGCACAGTTTACCTGGCTTATAGAGTCCGTCTGTCTCTTTATATGCCCTCTAACTACGCTTTCTGGTTCCCAGACAGTAAAAGTGAGCATTTTCAACCACACAACAACCCTTTCTGAGTCACGTTTATGTTGCGATAGAAAGAAAACACCGAACACTGTCACACTTAGTAACTCGTCATTGCGAGGCTGTAAGCATCACCCAGAGTCTCATCATGAGGTTGCAATAGAGATCGAGAGACATTGGAAGAGACACACAAAGGTATAGAAGTGTATGTCCATGGAAACGCAACGGTTTCACAGATCAAACAGGTGGATGTGCATTCAAAAGCACCGGCAGTAAAATGGTTCATGGGATTGTTTTTTTTACACAAATGGGGTGGGTTTGATTCCTGGTCAGTGTCCCAAATATCCAGCCACTGCTGGTCCCAAGCCTGGGTGAATAAAATGGGTAGGTTGTCCAGACTGAGTCATTGCTTCCCAAAGAAGGGCATTCGGCGACAAGAACAACACGTGCATTCAAAAGCACCGGCAGTAAAATGGTTCATGGGGTTGTTTTTTCCATAAATGGGGCGGGTTTGATTCCTGGTCAGTGCCCCAAAATATCCAGCCACTGCTGGTCCCAAGCCTGGGTGAATAAAATGGGTAGGTTGTCCAGACTGAGTCATTGCTTCCCAAAGAAGGGCATTCGGCGACAAGAACAACACGTGCATTCAAAAGTTTAGACAAGGTCAAATTAAATTCACTTGCTCAGGTTAGAGTGCGTTTTGAAGTTCACCTCATAACTTTTTTGTGAGTCATATATCATGTATGGTTGAAGTAATCCTCCACCAATAAGGGAAGGGCCTGCTCAAGAAGAGAAATTAAAATCAACGCATATTGTTAACGCTTCAATGTCGGCACATTCGATTTTCTAACGTGTCACTCTGTGCATTCTCAGGTATCGTGTCGCTGATTTCTCTGGTGATCCTCTCTTACGACCGCTACAGCACTCTGACCGTGTACAACAAGCGTGGACCCAACTACCGCAAGCCACTGTTGGCCGTCGGGGGCTCGTGGCTCTACTCTTTGTTCTGGACGGTGCCGCCGCTCCTGGGCTGGAGCAGTTATGGTGTGGAGGGAGCCGGAACCAGTTGCTCAGTGTCCTGGACGGTGCAGACAACCCAGTCGCACGCCTACATCATCTGCCTCTTCATCTTCTGCCTGGGCCTGCCTGTGCTGGTCATGATCTACTGCTATAGCAGGTTGCTCTGGGCTGTCAAACAGGTAGAAATTTTGTCTGAGAGGCATGGAAACGTGTAGAGCTATGAGTTTAACAACGACACCAAAAATGATTAAGTTTGGACTTATACTTGGAAATTTTAAAAAATATTTGCTAGAGCTATGAGTTTAACAACGACACCAAAAATGATTTAAAGTTTGGATTTGTATTTGGAAATGTTAAAAAATTATTTGCAGCACTTCTGTATCACATCCTGTTCATTTTAGAACACTTCTTGTTCGTCGAGGGGCACTTCCAGGTCATTTCCTGTTCAGTTAGGGCCACTTACTGTTCAAATTGGGACACTGGTGAGCTTCCTGTTCATTTTGGCGCTCTTTCTGTTCATTTTGAGGCACTTCTGGTCAACATCCTGTTCAGTTACGGCCACTTACTGCTCAAATTAAGGTACTTGTGGTCAGTTTCCTGTTCATTTTGGGGCACTTCTGAGTCACTTCCTGTTCCTTCTGGTGCACTTCCTGTTCATCATCAAAGAACTGATTGTCACCTAGCTTCCAATGGAAATTCAGGCTGATAATTGGAAAACAATAGTGGCACACAAAGACCTCTTCGCCATCCACAGGTTTAAGCAATGGACAAACAGTAAACGCCTCACTGCCAATAAACCTTAATCCTAGCGTGCTGTACATCCATCTTCCAAATGTCACCTACAGATCCAGAGAGCAGCTGACAAATGAAATAATGTGATAGGGTCCATAAATCACTTGGTCATCAATTGGTGGAATGCCCGATGGTCATCTTTTGTGTTCCAGACAATGGAAGAGGCAGAGCAGGTTTTGTCGAGCACAATTTTGGTGTATTTGATCGAGGTGCGGGTGGTGCTCCATGGACGTGCGTGGTGGACCTCGTAGTATTTTGAGACCAGCATGGGACAATCCCTCTGAATCATTGTAGAAATCAATTCATTGAACGACAAATTATTGTCATCTTAAAAATATTTTAAAAGTATCCCCATGGGTGGGTTAGAGGGTGACGGTTTAAAAAAATATGATGAAAAGTGATTTTTTTATTTATTTATTTTTTTTTCAAGCTCCCTCTTAAATAATTATCCACATCCTCGGTGACTATGATGTCTTTTATTTATATTTTTAGATTTTTGGATAGCATTGATGGTTTCTATAATTGTGACATGATAGTGGTGGTATTAAAAGGTGGATTAAGTCAGGTAAATCCCGACTCAAATCCCATGTACCAGATGCACGGGTGGAAGGCCATCGTTTTCTCTCGTCTCCTTCTTGAATCAGTCTTACGCTAGCGCTGGAATGACTTGCTAGTGTGCATAAGCTGCTTTCAATTGAATAAATAAGATTTAGCTTTCACTTACAATTACAAAGTGGGTTGCATTAACTTAATTACTTACTCAGTGCCGTTTCGTTAATGCCATTCAATTGTAACGAGTTGCTGAGTATGTTTTTGGACTCCTGAACTGCTTGTTATTTTCTCCTACCACACACACGCACACGCACACGCACACACACACACACACAGTACAAATACGTTCTAATGACTCACATGGGGTTACATTCCAACTGTAGTTATTAATAAATAAGAGTTCCTTATCAAAACTAATACTCTACTTGTTCAGTGCAAATTGCTTGAAGATAATGAGTCGTCTTTTTTTATCAAAGCATGTCAGGGTGGCAGCATGAATTCGAACCTCACTCTAAGAAAAAAATAATTTGGTTGAGATTGAGATTAGAAGGCACGGAGAGAACATACAAACAACCCCATTACTTATCTATTCGATTTTTTTTTTCCATTAATGAAGCAGTTAATCAAAACTATCACTTGTCAGGTGAGTCTTATTTGGAATTAGACCCCCCAAAGAAAAATTAAAGCAACGGCAAACCTCATGATTGGACATTCGTCCCATTTCCATAGACAGGTCATGAAACGTCCTTGTTTGTACATGCAGTGAGTCAGTGGCAATGAGGGTAGAACATCTATTATTTGACAGCAAGGCACCATATCTCGGTCAAACTGACTTCGACCTTCTAGCTGCTGAAAACAAACTTCAGGGACGCTTAGCCACGAATAAATACAGCATTTTAAGATCAAACATTCAGCTATTGCCGCTTTATCCTCAGGAAGGTCGCGGGCGTGCTGGATCCTATCGCAGCTGACTTCGGGCATTTGGCATGCGTGCTACACCCTGAACTGGTTGCCAGCCAATTGCAGGGCTCAAGACAAACAACCATGAAGCCTTGCAAATAGTGTTCCGGTGTCATTCTCTGGAGGTCATTAAATGCAGAGACATCATTTCTACACAAAGCCAAACATGTAAAGTAGCCTCGATTTAGCGCTTTTGTTATACAAATACATCTGAGAATGATCTTCACCGACCAGATGGGCACTCTTGAATAAATCCCCTCGTAATACTCCCACAGTTGAGAGAGGATTGGAACGTGAATTAGGGAATATCTTTGAGGCATTCTCTTGCATACAATGAATCATCTTGTTCTTATAAGATTAACTACTATACTTAAATTTTTTAACGGCTTTTATTTTTTTACAAGACACTGGGTCAGCCTTCTATCAAGTCATCAGAATTATCGAGTGAGGTGCTCGGCCTTTCATATTTGTGCACGTGTGTGTGTCTGTGTGTGTGTGTGTGTGTGTGTGTGTGTGTGTGTGTGTGTGTGCGTGCGCGCGTGTGTGTTCGAGTGTGCTTGTGTGTGTGGAGGGGGGGCCTGGGGGGGTGTAGTTTGACATTAAATTAGCGAGGAGCTGAAACCTTCTCCATGCCAATATTATTGTACTGTGTTATACTGCCTCCTGGTGGCCAAAGGACACTTACCATAAAGAACAGCACATTGTCCATTGAAATGAAGCAAAAAAAAAAATGACATTAGTTGTGGTAACAATAACAAGGACTCTAATGAGAATAAGCAGTATAATAAATGGAATGAGAGATGGTAACAAAAAAATAATTAATCCCTGATAATAAATGCATTGTGTTGTTGTTTTTTTTCTGTTTTTGAGCCACAGGTGGGTAAGGTCCGCAAAACAGCAGCTCGAAAGCGAGAGTTCCACATCCTGTTCATGGTCTTGACCACGGCCGCATGTTACCTGCTGTGCTGGATGCCGTATGGCGTGGTGGCCATGATGGCGACATTTGGTCCACCCGACATCATTAGCCCTGTGGCCAGCGTGGTGCCATCCCTGCTGGCCAAGAGTAGCACAGTCATCAACCCGCTCATCTACATCCTCATGAACAAGCAGGTGAGTCAACACAGGAGACTTCGACATGGAGAATGTTTATTTACATTGTTAGAAAATGAACAGTTTAAATCATACAAATTCAAATATTGATTCAAGTGTACTAAGAAGAAAATGTGCAAACCAGTCAACGAGAACACCCTATAAGGCTGTTAGGAATGAAAGTGGTGTTGCTTCATTTCTTCTTCTGCATCAAAAAAGATGTCACAGGCAGTGAGGTGCACGATCCCTCAAATTCACCACAGGTCATAGAAAAAGTTACTTCGCAGAGATGCGATAAGGAATTTAAAAAAAAAAAAAGGAAATTGGCACAAGCGCATGAGGTTCAGATGAAATAATTGCATGAGATGAAGTGCTACTAGGGAGTAGCCTGCAGCCAAACTGGATTGGCCTCTCCACAAGCATGCAAATGGCCCCGCCGAAGCAGAACAACCAGATAAATACATCTCATCGCCTCTCACAACATATACGACATTAGGGGGTTTCTATATTTGCAGCACAGTATAGCACAGCACAAAACTCTCCAGCCCCTCATCCTGGTTTGCATGCCGTGTGCACTTCTATAGAAACGTATGTACAGTATCCTCAATGCTTCTTGCACTTTCAGTGTGTCACGGTCACAAAAAAATGAAATCCCCAGGAACGGCAGAGTTCCAGTTTCACCTTTACCAATTGGAACAAGCTCGAATTTCCCTCAGCTATTAAAAATCACGTACTTTCTGATGGCGGGGTGGGGCGAGTTAGCGCTTTTATTTGCATTCTTTCTTCCATTATTGTTTTTAATTGGTTGGTCAGGAGTCGAAACGTTCATCAGAAAGTGTGTGTATATATATATATATATATATATATATATATATATATATATATATTGAATGTATTGTTGATCAAGGTGGCTTCATCGCTCTCTTATTCCTCTCACAAGTCTGTGTTGGAATGTACTGAACTTCCATTTCCAAAACATTGTCGAGAACTGGAGGTCTAAGTGGATGTCCACATAGCTGACATTTATTAATCCATCCATTAATCCAGTCATCTGTTATTATGCCCGACTCTAGCCAGAACGACCTAAATCTAAATATGGATTCACCATTTTCTATTTGTCAGAGTGATGCAGTACCTTCATGTTTCAAGTGTCCATCAGAGCTGATCTTGACAAGTTATTATACAATCCTGCTTTTATATCGAAATAAACAGTACCACAGCACATGATCTGATCCATACAGCTTAGTCTTATTTTAAAGTAGTCAAAAGAGAGGCCACTGCATATTTCAATATTTTTAAGGAGCTCGGACTTTGTTTTCTCATATAGCGGCCTGGGGTGTGTCATTGTGAACAATTACATTTCCCAAATAAATAAAATACGATACTTCAAATAAAAATATATTACAATAGCTAGCAAACGAAAGGACTCTTCTAGAGAGGAACTGTGCGAAACTGGGCCAACTGTGTCGCGCTTGCTCCCCTGAATATAAACATGGATGCACACCACATTGTGGGGCGAGCGCAGAAGTTACTGCGATGCTAATTGGTGGGAATGGCAACACCAGCTCATTCTTAAATTTGTTTACAAAAACCGAGTGGCATCCAGCAAGAAACATTTCCATGAATGTAATTCTAATTGGAATCTGGAAAAACCTGCCTTGGTAGGTGCTGCTGTTTTGGTAAGCACCAAGCAAACTGTGGTCATTACACGAGCTTAGGCCACTCTTTTAGGAAATACACTATTTCATACAGCTAGCAGTTGAGAAACCCTGGCGAGAAAAAATTAATAAATGTAAGAGAGACCGGTATAAAAAAAAAAAAAAAAAAAAAACATAATAATTCAAATCTCCTCAGGCAGAGACGGAGCAAAGCTGATGGTTTTACTGAGTCACATTCCTCGCGGATGATGGCGAGTCCCGAGAAATATTTGAGGGATTTGCGAGTAGAAATAAAGGAGCTTGCTATAGCTCTGTGACAATGTAATATAATCCCCCACCCCCCTCGCTCCTGTTGCCCACATACTTTGTGGAGAGGCTAGCATGCAGCGGCTAAAGGTAACATTCAATGAGGAGTGATAGCCGAACAAGAATCCAGGTTATTGATGTCTGGGTGTTCTGAACCTACTCAAGGTGACGTGAAGACAGGGTTCACTTGACTACCAACCTCTATGCTCACCTTACCTACTGAAGCATGTTACACACATACCAATCAAACATCTTAACGAATAATTCAAATGTGAGAGGACAAACCAATATAAAGAAAGTGTGTCCAGGACTGGTGAGAGAAGACACATTTCAAATCCAAATTTCAAATTTTCCCCTTTAAAGAAATCCCCCTGGAGTATGATCGCACTCTCCCTAGTTAAATATACCACCCTTTCATGGACTCCTGGAAGTCTTTTTCCAGGATCCTACGTAGGTACGTCATCATGGCTAACTTGATCATCAACCGCATCTTAAAAACGGGTCCCTTTTGGGAAACCCAAAAATATCACAGAGCCAGATCAAGCGAGTGGGCATTTTGCTCCATGCATGGCCAGGAAATGTCAGATGCTCATTGTGAGGAGGCGTGTCGTCAATGTGAAGCAGCCACGAGTTGCCCTGCCATGACTCCTGCCTCTCCTCGCCCAGTGAACGCAGGAAAAGCCGCACGATGTTAAACGTCTGGCCAGTGTTGAGAGGGAAAACTGTAATCTGGATTTGAAATGTATCTTTTCGGATACACTTCATAGTTTGTGGTGTATATGACCAAAACAGCACACCAAACATAACGTTGAGTCTCCTCCCCAAAGCAGGTGTCTGTTGTAGTGCCAATACTGACCTGTGAAAGGCAGCATAGTACCACAAGATATCTGAACTTCCGGAACACACAAAGAAGAAATCGAAGAAGTCACAATCATGGCGTCTGTGACTCTACCGTTGTGTTGACAACACTCATAAGGATTTGCTATCGGAAATATTAACTCATTCAGTACCAGCCAATTCTGGACCAAGTCTGAAAAGACGTTTAAAACCGTCTTTGGGAGTGAATGAGTTCAACTTGTTTCACATTCACGACTGGGTGATTGTGCAGATTGGGAAGACAAAAATGTCATTTGATCCCAGCCACACGACAGGAGAGTCACCCAGGATCTTTTTTTTTTTTTTTTTTGGGGACACATCTGAAATTCCAGCCATTGCCGATTTTAATCAGAAAGAAAAGGCGCAAATATGGTCTGATTGTCAGTATGTGTGTATCCTGCTTTACCTATCCCGACACTTTCATAGCCTACTCTACTTTTCTAACCTACAGTATACCTTAACCAACTTGCCTATCTACCTGCCTGTCCTACCCTACTGCTAGTTCAAATTACTTCAAGAACATTTAGGATAAGCTTTAAATATGATTTTATATTCTTGCTAGAAGTATCAACAACCATTCAGCCAAAGCAGCAATCCAGTTCAAAGTTCAAAGTATCCTTCGCTGAGCTTCACTTTTATACACAGGTAAATCGTAGCTGTTCCCGTCTAACTTTGTCATCCTCTGATTCGGTCAAACAGGAACCAAGTCCCCAACCACAAACATGTTCAACAGTCATTCGTCGAATATGAAACAAGTTACCAAGTTTGAGATGTACGTTTATGTAAGAATGTACAGAAATTAATGCACGATTGAAAATATTTTCCCCATTACCTATCCACCAACCGACAATCCTTCAGCACTACTTTGACACCCATCTAACACATCAACTAAACTAGGGAGGCAACTGCCGGTTCTGGATGTCCTGGAGGTATAGGGGGAGAATCCGCAAGTCGTTTTATCAGGCAAACGGGGGACGGAACTAGTTGTTTACACTTCCCGAAAGGCAAATAACAACTTGCCAGATGACTTCAGATGAGTACAAAACGGGTTAGACCGCGAGCATCAGTGTTGAAGTGGATAACCACACAGACTATTAAAAAAGACACAACACCAATTAAACCACTGTTGAAAATTCCCCAAAAACTCTTTAAAATTTGTGGCTACGCCAAGTCAGCTCCTTAGCTAACATGGCTCAGCTAAAGCAGAAAGATATGTCTTTTTCAAAGCTGTCACGAGGGCATTTTTCCCCCCCACCTTCGGCAGCCTGTAGTCCCAAAGAACATCTTGATGAAAACAAGCTCTCCCCAAAGCCTCTCTGTTGATCCCCCACCACCCTGAAGGTCTATGGCTTGTGTTTTTCGACAAACTAATCCAAAACTTGTAAGCCTACCCCCACCCCCATCTCTCCATCGCAGCCTCGTCGTCTCCAGTGGCTTTATTGCACGGCACCCTAAGTGGGCCCAGAAAAGGTCAAAGTTACATCAAGTAGGCTCAGTGGTTCAGCTCGCATATGTTCAGATGTCACAGTCAAAGGTGCGGAAGCCGGGGAGCGTGACCCGTCCCTTTCTGCGCAGGTCTTCCTCTGAGCCGCTGTTGATCCGCATGATGAGGCTCTTCTCATACAAGAGGGGGTGGTAGGCGCCCAGAGTGCAGGCCATGTCAAAGTAACGCTCGTAGTAATGACATAGGTCCGTCTTCCTCATGGATGGGATGTACTCGTACACGTGCACCTGCTCGCACAGCGCCATCATCAGGAGGATCCCTGTAGGAATATAATTCAGGATTCCAATTTAATCATCTTTTAATCGCTGTAAGTGAACATATTGGTATTGTTAATTGACACACGACAGAGAAAAATTGTATTAATACAAATTTGAAAAATCAAGCAATGTCTCTTCTCTCAAACGCTGTGGCTGCTGCATGTGCTAAAACCACACGCCGCTGCACTGTCGACTGTCAATCAAATACCACACATATCGCATATGCCGACACATCCCGACATTTCATTTTTTGATCCACAAAAATATATCTTCTTAATGCCTCAGGTGACTGGAAAATATCCCAATGGGTTGTTGCGAGAAATTCCATGGCATGATGAGAAGTGCTAAGCAAAAGCTAGCTCGCGAGCTAACCGGGGTTCTTCTCAACCAGCGGACCGAGCATACGGGGTATCACATCCTTGCCTGGTGGGTCAGTGTGTGGGTCTACATAACAAGAAATACGAAAATATACACACACACACACACACACACACACACACACACACACGGGGTGGGGCAAAAAAAAAAGTGCGCATGCATCAAAGCCTTCTTTGAGCGACAGTCAAATACATCAAACATGCAGGCGAGGCAGGCTCCGTTCATGCTGCGTTATCTGCCTAACACAAACATCACCAGCCTTTGCCGCCAATTTCTGTTTATCATTTTGTCTCGCTTGTTATTGTGCTCACGGGTCTCCGTCCTCTATGCTGTCATTGTGAATCTGATGCTCAACCCTTCCTCCCAAGATGACTCATACGGTGAAGGGCCATAGCATTGTGTTATATGTGCCCCCCCCCCCCATCCAATAAATGTCTAACACAGGCAATAATGTTCAGTTTTGATGGACATTGTCACAGAGGTAGTAACTTGATGCGCAAGTAGTAGCAGTTTTAATGGACTGATATGACCTTCAGTACAAAAACAACAAAGAGATGAAAAATCTACTGTAACAGATTTCCCGTACTGAAATACCGTGTACTGTACTGTGTCAAATTTATCCAATAACATTTCAGTCGATTTACATGGGAACATTATATTTATTCCTCATCTGAATCATTACTGCCAAACAAATCATGCGAGTGACTTGCTGTGGGAACCCCCGTTGGGACAAATCAAGTCACAACATCTCTTTCTGCTGTTTTCCCCACTCTTCTTTTCTTTGTGCTCTGGACAATTTCAGTGTTTTTGAAATGTTTACACAGCTGTATGGGTCATATCAATAAATTCGTCCCTACCGTCACAGAGAGCGAAAAGGTATCGACCAGTCAGAGGAGGGGAAGGCGGAGAGCAAACTTGATTTCTCACACAAAACAGATGTGGAAGCTAAAATGCCATTTTGGAGCTTTTGAATGATTTAAGGACTGACCTGGAGTCGGTCACAAGAAGGAGTCATGCTAGAACCAGTTAGAAGGAGTCATGCCATATCATGTATGACAAAACTTCCTCAACTTTGCATTTTCCCGTTAGGTCATTTCAGGATCTCCCACAGCAGTTTGTCAGGTGTGCAGTGACGAGTTTTAAACACTTTTATGCAGGATGTAGATGTAGATAAATCCAGCTGGTGCACATTGCGCAAAATCAGCAAGCTCTGCAGGAGCCTCATAACGATCCTGATCATTTGACTCATGTGTGTTGGCGGAGGGAAACATCTAAAGGGAAAGCGGACCTCGAGGACTGCAGTTTGCCACACCGGTAGCTTTTAGCCGAAATTCAAACGCAAACCTCGGAACTGTGAGGCAGGCGTGTCGACCTCTTTTCCAACCAGAGACCATTTTTCGTGTAAACCTTCTAACTACCAATGTCCTCCGTGTACATTAAGACAACGTGACTGCTGTGGGAAAAAAAGGTCATAAAAAGTAATACATGCAGCGGTGGCTTTAGCACAGTACTGTACACGCAGTAGTTTCTTATATGGAATAAGCCATAATTGATTTCTATGCGCAGGAATAAATGTTGAGCGATGGTATCTAGGAAACGCTCCACAAGAACTCTCAGATGTTTCCAAATCAGGCATCGAAGCGAACCACTCAGAATGTCTGAGGCTATTCCATGACAAGCAACAAGTCATTAGGAGGCCATTTTCTCTGCTCTCACTGCAATGAAAGTGCTTTGAGCAATGATTTATGCTCCATCAACCCCATCGCCGGCTTGTGCTTCTGACAACAGGGTCGCTGGCACTTGCACTGACATTAACCCACTTCCCATCTGCCTCGTTAGTTCTACAGATGCTTCCTGATCCTGTTCCACTGCGAGAACTGGTCGGGGAAGAACGGCAGAACCTCCATGTCGTCCAAGACTACCGTCATCCAGCTCAACCGACGGTTCTCCAGCAACACGGTGGCCTGCGCTGCCCACTTCTCGAGCGACGCGCTTAAAACTAACGCCGAGCCTGCCGTCAAGCTGACCACGCCCCCCGAGGTTGTGACCTGAAACTGGCAGGCCCAAGGAAGCACAAACAGACACAACAAGTGGGATAATGCTTCAGCTGGTTGTGATTTCCGGTGCAAAGTGGACTGCAGAGGACTATGGATGAACGGGTTAATGTCGTTTACATGTGAGCTTTGTGTTTGTACAGAGATGATTCCCTTTTGTGTCCCATGATTTAGACATTTTTTTTTCATTTGTGCTTAACGTGCTAAATGCAAAAAAAAGGAGAGAGAAAAAAAACACGTGCATGATATTCACAATATGATTTGATGTACAGTGTACGGACACGAGAGGGTTATGTGCAAAAAGACTTTGGGGTTGGTGGAGATTCACTTCAAAATAGTAACCCGGGAAATTGCGTTATTCACATCAGGGGGAACGAGACACGCTAGCGTTTACCTCTCTGCACGTACGGACTCACAATTCATCCAAGAAAAGAATGACGGTCATGGCAGCAAAGTGGAGACTGCGGGGCACACAATTGAGGCATCCGGATGCTAACATTAGCATGTGTGCTATTTTTATTTTATTTTTTTTTGTCATTGCATCCCCAAAATTAAATGATGAATCTGCTTGACCATTGACTAAAGGTACACTGTATTGTATTGTATTCCATTATCATGTCTAATGAATTACTGTGCCAGAAAATCTTCGACTAGTGAGTACCTGTTTGGATGCCATGCGCAGAAAAATTAGGCTCGCTAAAAGACGCACAACACACAGGAATCTCGTTATTTTCTTTATTCTTTGCTAGATGTCTCGCTACAAAATAAATCCTGATTTTCAGAAACGAGACTTATCGCAACAGGCCAGAGGCGCTGGTGCTGCCAACATATCAGGTCGAGACAAAACAAGCCCATTTCTGTGACGGTGGCATAAAGCCATACTCTGACTGTCTTGTTGTAAGAAATATGAAGTGGCATGCAAAGCTCACCAAGCTAGTTTGTCTGATACACTCCAAGCCAAATGGGTGGAGGGGTTTGGGGCGACATAGCGAATGGAATAAAAACTTTTGAACGGTTGAAGTTAACCACAACCCTGAACCGGACGAGCAGTGTAGAAAATGGATGGATGGCGTCCTTATTGTAAATTGAAGGTGAATGACTCCCTTAAAAAAATAATAATAATAAAGAGTGAGAATTGTCAACTGATTCTACATAACTGTTGTCTTGGTATTTACTGGCCACAAAAATGAGGGATATGGGGATTCAAACTGAAATTTCAGGATGAACCTAAAACGAGAGGTTTGCTCCTCAATGTCGTCATATCACGGAGACGGCGATGCATTCATCTTGGTCTCATTTTTCATATCATTTGAATTCGACTTTTTGGAGATTTTTCCACCTTTTGTGGAAGTCTGCTCTGTCGTGAATACAAAGTGCCTTTGAAATGTAACAAATCCCCTTATCGTGTGAACTAGCTTTATGGATGGATTTGTAGCGTACTGTGAGTAAAAATCAGTCTCTTCACACATTCACACGATTACACAAAATGAAACCGCAATGTCTTGGGTCAGCCTACCATGCTTCTATGCTCTTTGTATTGAACATCATTGTGACAAATTGCTGCAATGCGCTGCTGTGAAGGCGCTTTCACTGTCAAGGCATTGCTGCAATGCGCTGCTGTGAAGGCGCTTTCACTATGAGGTGTGAAAATTGCACTTTTAGAATGACAGCCAGAGACATATTGTCACTTAAGAGACAAACAACTGCGGCAATTTGACACTTAGGGTGCACACATGTAAGAAAGAAAAAAGAAAATGATGTTTGCAGTATACAGCAGGGAGGAGTGAGCGAAGCACGCTTGATGATTGCTATGATGCGGGAGCGCCTGTGAGATTAGTCTGCAGTCCATTTCGGCTGTTCGATTGAGCACGGCATGTGCACACAACTGGGCTATATGTGTGTTTGGTGAAATTGAAAGATAAGACAGGTAGCAACAATATGAAATATCCGTAGCCACTGTCAGCATGGGTGAACGCTGACTCAAAGCAACAAAAAAAAAAATAAATAATGCTTTATTTGTACATTGTTATCAGGGCTTGAGACTTTGGAGGGTTGAAATTTAGCGCAATTCAATTGTAATGGTAAAAAAAAGGCCACAACGTAATTTATTGTTGAATGAAATATGTTATAAGTTAAGTGCCTTGAATATTTAATAATTGTGTACGCATTTGGATCATGTTGTTTGGGAAGACTGATTGTTTCCTTTGTGTTGCGAGCAAAAAAACAACAGACAAAGCATATAACAATACAGTCGACCTGCAGATGGTGAAAATCAACATGTAATTGACACCCAATGATATGCATTGGCTAAAAAAATAAATGAATAAATAAACATTAATCATATGTCTTCCGTGATGAGCTGGAGAAAAAAAAATGGATAAGTGAGTGAACTCCAGTGAGTGAATACGAGATGTGCTCACCTGTGAAGCCGGATGACGGAGGATTGGGCTGGATGTTCACCTGAGTATTGCCCTGAATCACATCCCAGAGGCCCCAAATATATCTGGGATGGAGGATGTAGAAGGGCTGGTCGGGATGCAACTTGCGGTGTTCCACGTATGGGCGAAACAGGTCGTAGTCTGGACTGGTGTACCACTGACAAAAAAAAAAAAAAAAAAGAAAAGAGGGGGGGGGGGGGGGGGGGGAACACTCCTTCAGAACAAAGGTACACATTCCAATGCTGTGCCAAAGTCCACTGTCATGAATGTTTGGAGAACATTTTCCACAGCAGTCATGTTGATATACTAAAATGGTACATACAGTTAACCATTACCGCAGAATATCCCAGTCACGATTATCTTTGAACATACAAAAGCAATGACTGATTGCCACTGGTTAATTTAAAAGAAATTCTTAATTAGAATGACTTTTGTCAGACTCAAGATATTGTACACTGTTTTAATTTCATGAACAGAGGAGGACTTACAATTTTGACAGTTTTCTTCACTGGGAGGCAATTTTGTACAGGACTTGAGTTGTATGTGCAGGAGTGCAAATATTTCTCAAAAAAGGCACGCACTCTACGGCCTGAGGCAGCCAGTAGTGAATTAAACGTGCCTCGAAATCAGTCAAAAATGTTCGTTGCAGCGCCTCTGACAATGAATTAATAAGAGATATAAACTGTCAATGACTGATGAGCCTCCAGAACGCCTCCTCTATTATGTGCGAATGAAAAATGTCTGCCGGGCGTCGCTGAGGGAGTACGCCTTGGACAAATGGATTCTTCCCACAAAATGTATTGAAGGAAATGAAGGTCATTTTTAATTCCAAACCTGGGAAAATTCTATACATATATTCGGTACTGTAACTGTTGTAGGTCAAAATGAATCTTGTGAAGCTAGTGCTGGTACTCAGCACAAATTATGGTGTCATAAAATCAACCTGTCAGTCAAAAGTGGCCATTTCAGTGTCTTGAAAGCAAATGTATTCACCACCTGACAACTAAAAAAAAAAAAAAAGATGAGCACAGCAAATTGGGGGAGCAAAGTGATCATTTTGTGGCCCATTAAATGCGATAATGAGATAGAAGAGCAACAATCCCTCAAGGTTGGGTGTAAGGTGAGGGCAAAGGCAGTGTCTGTCTAAATCTGTCTTTTTTTTTTTTAATTAGTCTTTTATCATACACAGGATAATGTTGCTGCACCAAAACAATAACAATGAAGTGTGAGTAAAGTGTTTTTTTTGGTTTTCTAATTAGTTTTCAATCCTTCTGGCGTAAGGTTTTGTAGAATGACACAAGTGGAGCTGACAAAATAATCATAAATCATAAGTGAGGGAAAAAAAACACAGCCATGCTCATAACTAATATCTCGTAACTAATAAGATCCAAAAGACTGTATTGACTGTTTTCCATTATTAACACTTCAAATCAACTTTCCATATTAAAATGAATGCGAATACCAAGAATTTAATACAGCCCCCCGCTCTCCAAAAATAATAAAACGTTTTTGTAATTTTTTAAAAAATGAGTAAATAGCACTGTATAATATTATACATTGCAAAAACATACAGCAATGGCAGTATTTTAAACCAAATAAAAAATTTTGTCACACATTCTCTTTCAATTGTGCTGCTCATTGTAGTGTCGACACCACCTGCAACTTTAGCAGAGGCTCAGAACCTCTTCTCAGTAAGGCAGTAATATTATTGTTCTTCGCAGGGGATAAATAATATATGCCTGGGGGTATTGTTATATGGTCTGTCTACATGTGTTGCAGCACAGTTTGTGTTCAGATATCCATTCCTTAAGGATGAACAACACCGCCACATCAATGCTAATTGTTAGCTCACATGCCTATGGGATTTCCAATTAGAAAAAAAAGACACATTTGTATCGTTAATGTGACAGTAAGTCAAAAATGATTTGGGCAAGCGATATTATAATTTTATTTGCATTATTTCACAACTGACAGATTTTTGTGGGTGTGGAAATCACATCAATGCAATTGCTATTACAATTCATTGATTGATGTATTTTTATTTTATGGTGAAACTATTACCAGGATAACTTTACAACACAAAGCCAAATCTGATATTTTTAAGGGCAGAACAAAGTCATACCTATGTTGATAAAAACGCGCTGACAGTGAATATATAAGGCAAGGGAGGGGTGGCACGTATGTGGAATGTGATAAGAACCTGAAAAATGTTTGGCTTGAAATTACATTCGACCGCCTGCATTCAATCACCAACTACAATTTCCAAAGCGAACGGACACTCTCCTGTAATGGCAACTAAAAGAATCAGAGTGGTGAAGATGCGGATGAATTATATGAGCCAACCAACCTTGTGAAGGTTGAGAGTGTAAGGCGCAGGGTCCCATGCCACCAAGGTTACATTCTTGTAAAGAGAACTGGTCTGGAAGTGACGCTTTGGACTTGCCATAACCTGTCGAGGATATTGAACATGCTTTTAATTCTCCCATCATATACTAGGCATTGGGAAAAAAAAACAAAAAACTAACTTGCAAGTGTTGGGCGCAAGCAGCTACAGTAAGACAAGTAAGACAGGGGAATCTTTTAAACACTTTCTATCAAATTTTCATTAGAAATACACAATTTTCAGCAACGAAATTATCACAGTATATTGCAACAACACATATAACTATGGCGCTTATAAATAAAATGTATTATTATTATTTTTTTTTTTTTTAAACTAAATACTGTTCAAAAACACAACTTTTTTGGACTCAAATATATCAATTTTTAGAGTAACAACTTGCCTTACTGACATTATAACATCCAACTGCATGCTTTGTTTTCCCCCAAAGGTGAAATCAAACACTTTTCCTTACAAAGTGTTCTATGCGGCCCCATCCTGATTCATAATTGCGTTTGTGGATTATGAATGAAGCTTTTTGGGCAAGGCTGAAATGGTGACACAAGTAAACCAAGCATGAGTCACCCCCCGTCCCCCACTATATAAGAACTTGAACACCATTGTTCGCATCAGTGGTTAGCTAGCTTGCTATTACTGTTAGCTGTAAAGTTCTTGTTACTCAATGTGCTGTGCCACGGCTTTGCGACAGTAGCTCAGCAATAGTCGAGTGGAGTGGGTGAGGGGTCAAAACTCAGATGCCTCCGTTGCTACTTGAACACAGAGTGCTTTCGAGCTTTCATCTGTGTTGACCTTGAAATATCTCCACACAAGACACTGACAAGGCTCCTACCCGTTGAAGTGCCTGTATATGTCAGGCTGGTGAAGTGGTATCAGCGTGCAGTATCGGTACATTACGGCACGAGTACAGCACAGATGTACAAGTATCAACACTAATACAAGTATGCATGTCGGTGAAAGCCTAATTATAAAGATACGAAAAATTAGCACAAAAACAGAATTCTAACATTACCCCCAAAAAGCTTGAATTATTGTAAGATGGATGGATAGATGGATTACATCATCGTAGCTTGGGTAACAGATGTAAATGTCCCTATATCTGGAGGCAAGGCCATGTTTTTTTCATGTCCCAACATTTGTAACCATATGGTGCCTATTTATTTATATGAATAATTCAGGATGCGTTCCTCTGCAGGACATCTAGTACATCAACGCCTGTCAACCTCATCATGTTATTTATGTCCTCACCATTGAGTTGATGATGCGTATGGTGGTCTTGCTGCCCACGTCTTTCTCATAGCCCTCGGTGGGCGCCGCGTTGAACCTCAACACGGCGTCATGAGCATCTGAAATCACACACATCGGCGATCACATTACGTGACAAACTGCTGCTATTTTTTTTTCCCCCATGATGATGACTACAAGATTCACAGGAGCCAGTGATGATGAACATCTTGCCATGTGACAAGACAAAATTATCATGAATTTCTCACACACACAAAAATACTGGGTTGTTTTGCTAACCCCCTTGCTGGGTAGCTAGATATTTTGAGCACATTGGGTTATTTTACCCAACGTTAGGTTAAATATTTTGAACCAGCAGACTGGGTTAAACATTGGATTGGGGCAGGCTGAAGAGCTTATTGCCATTTGAGAGAGCTTTGCTGTGTACTGAAGTTGAAGTCAATTGAATGTAACCTTTTTAGGAAAGGTGTTGAGGGTTATGAATGCCGATTCACAGCCACTGCCGGTCCCAAGCCTGCATGGGTTGGTTCCATTAGGAAGGGCAAAGCCACTCCCAGTTTGTTTACTGTCAAACTAAACATGTAAAAGAGAAGTAACATCCTGAATTTTAAACACCTAAAAAACTTTGACTTAGCGTCTGCTAGCTTAATGCTAACACATAATGGGAAACGGCATAGATGGGCTCATGAATATCGCACGTAGTACATACCATTGTTGATAATTATTGTCAAAAATCATTGACATTATCAGTATCTTCACATACATGAACACCATTATTGTATTGTTATTAATTTATTATGATTTGATTTCATAAGTGTGTATTCAAGTGGAATCTCCTTCACATTAATTAGTATCCAAAAAAGAGCTCTCGTTGGTGACCCCTGGTCAAGAGTTTGGCTGCTGAAGATCTTCAATTGCATAATAAGAAATAAAAAACATGGTGTGCTGCAACGAATCGTATTTGCATTTGTATAGGAGTGGAAACACATGAAGGCACACACTTTTCAGAAGTGTCACATTCATGTCGCAAAACTGCCCTCTAACGGTCAGTCTTGGTAACTGAGGGAGGTATTTTTAGACTTGAATTAGGGGCAAATAGGTGCGTGCAGTGCTCAGAAGATGGGACTGTAGTGGAAAAAATGTCTGACATGCGTCAAACAACCTTACTAATAGAATGAATACACGTTTATGAATCCATTAGATTATTAAATTCTATCAATTGCAATTAAATACAACATTAAACCCCAGAATAAAAGAGCACAAACCAATGCATATGTCATTAAATATACATTTCTAAGATAAATACATAAGTAAATGGATGTAACTATTGAAGACCAAAAATAAAATACAAATAAAAAGTCAAGAATAAAATCAATACGCTGCAATGCATTACTGCCACTGTGTGGTCAGCACAATGGACAGCAGCTCCAGATACACAATCAGTAGAAGAAGGAGAAGGAGAAGAAGAAGAATATCCATCCATCCATTATCTGAAAATTTTATCCTGGTGCTGGAGCCTATAACCAACTCGACTAACTAAACAAAATAGCTTCCCCAGAACTAGTTGGAGCATTGAAAAGGCAGACTAACTTGTCTATCTGAAGCTGTTGTCCATTGTATTGGCCACACGGTGGCAGTAATGCATTGCAAAAATGTATCATGAATCTTTCAAGAAGTTGTTATCCAACTGGTAACACGATAAAACATTTAATAAGAAGAAGAAGAAGAAGAAACACATGATGCCTCTCTGACAACTGTCAATCCAAAGTTTAAAAAATATAGGATGCAGCAAGTGTATCGGAGCTCAACATTTGAATGTTCCCTTGAAAAAAATAAAACAGGCTAAAAGTTAAATAATTCAAGTCATGTCAAAGTCTCTGACGTACCCATCGAGTCAAACCTCCTTTCGCGGTTACTAATGGCGTGATGAATATGCTGCGGCTGCTTGGCTTTGGGAAGCACGCACTAGTCCGCACTGAAGAACTAGGCATGAATGCCATTTTATTTAAATATTTGACTGCTTACAGTATAGTTCGGTAGTTGGCCCATGTCTGTGTCTGTGCGTGCGCGCGCGCGTGCGTGTGAAGAAGAGAGACACTAACTTCCTGTGTTTGTGAGCAGGTGCGCTTTTTATGACACAGAGGCGAAACAATGTTGCTATGAAAATAAACAAGTGCACAAATGCACTGTCAAATCTGGAGCTACCAGCTGGAGATTGATGTTGTACACTTGTTCATTTTTCGTGGGCTGACATTTGCTTTGTGTTGATTGCTAATTATCCTCTTTCCTCGTGTGGGGGCGGGAGTGTTTATTTGGTCAACTGCAGAGAGTACAAGGCTTGTATTGTGCAAAGGCATGTATTGGAAGAGAGAGAGACATGTATTTCAACTCTTTTATTATTGCAATATTGAATAACATAATTGCCCTGTGATTGGCTAGCGACCTGTCCAGAGTGTGACCCAGTGAGGATAAATAGTATTGAGAATGGATAGTTAGACAAGTAACAATTTTGTTGTACCTTGAGATAGGCTATGAGTCATCCAGTTTTTCAAAGGGACAAGCCATCATTCGGACATTTTTTATTTTTTAGTTTTTGCTTTGGTTTGTGAGCAAATTGTCATGTCAAGTGCTGTATGGTGGCAGTCAACTTAATAAGGAGTGCAGCAATTTGGCATAATGAACACATCTTCCAAAAAGATGCTTACAGCTGTTAATTGCTACTCTCAGTTGAAGTTTATGTCAAACTAAGCATAAAACAGAGAATTACACATGATTTTCAAACAAGAGAGCGAGAAAGATACACAGATAGTTGAGGTGTAGCAGTTAATTATTCAAATGGAGGATGCACACATGGAATTCATTGGAGAGTGGAGAATTTATTTATTCAAGTGGACAACAAATAAATCAGGTGCGGCTACAATTACAGCGGAGGCCTCCCTTTGAAGGAGTACGGCACTTTGAATGATGGCTAGTTGAAGTGCAATGTTTAATTATTCAAGTGGACGATGCACAGGAGAATTAATCGGGGTGCGGCGTGTCGTAGTGTGGGCTGCAGAAGCCTCTCTCGACTCAGAGAGATAAGAAACCGTTAATACATGATGTATTTCACATCACACAAGTGTCAACTTGCCAGGGCTTTCATCGCCTTTTTTTCTATGCACAGCTGCCACAATCAATATCAAACAGTCTGCATGCTGTTGAGGTTAACAGAAAAATGTTTAATGCATTCAGGAATCCAATTCAAAGAAGCTCCATGTGATGTAAAGACACCTGATGGGTTGCCAGGAGGGGGAGGGGGGGGCATGAGTGGTGGTGGTGGCAGGGGGCGTTACAGGGTTAATTATTTTATTTAATCATCTTTCCCCATTGAGATTAAGGGAAATGGCATTGATCTGTTCCAGTCACCACTGCCAAAAAAAAAAAAAAACACTGTAAATATGGACGTGTCGCTATTCGCAGAAGGGGTCAGTGCTTATCCTCTGCAAAGTAGGGGTTCACTGCAGTTCACTGGTGTGGAAGTGCGCTACGTCATAGCGAGAGCTGTTTATAATCATCTTTCCACCTCATGTAGCTGACTACTATAGCCAAAATATTTGAAACAACTCTCATGCGTGCTTGCTTTCCATCGTGTCAGCAAATCACCTCCACCACTTCCTGACCACAGCGATAGACTTGACAACTACGTAACAACTCACCTCCTCCATACATCCTCAGCTTACATTCGTTTTTGCGAACAAGATTCAAGGCGTGCGTGCAACTCACATTCTCTCATATACTATTTTATATTTAGTGTTATATAGCACTCCATTATGGATACGGTGGTTTCGGAGGTAATAAGGGAACCAAAAAAAAAAAAAAAAATGCAGTCCTAAAAAAATTAAGAGTCCTCTTTTTTTGTCGAAGATGTTGAAATACTAAATTGTGTGAAAACGCTGACATTTCGAGAGTAGCCCTTAACACGACATAAATTCAAAAATTTATAACAGACGCTTATGATTTACACTGGGAAAAAATGGTGTGTTGAATTAACTCACTTTTATATCGGCAAAAGGTTGCACAAAATCAAATTATCTGGATCCAGAGCCATTTTTGAAGTAGACTATACAGCTACTTCAAAACTGTATCTGGATCCAAATAATTAGATTTATTGCATGTATATTGCCCATCCCTGCAGTTCAAAATTCAAGCGATGATTCAGGAAGTGACAGCAAATTAGAGGAACTCCAAAACTACTCACCAATCTCTTTGCCCAGTCTCGATCGTAGGATGGCGCCGGCAGAGGCGACCACGGCACAGGTCTTGAAGCTACTCCCACCTTGCAGCTGCTCCAATGGGAGGGACGGCACGAGACGGGCCCATCCTAATGAAGAGAAGGGCTTCTCCGATCCATCTACGGTGCTGAGCTGGGCCTGAGTCTTCATCTGACACAGCAGCTGCTTGGCACTTTGAGAGGCTCGGCGGGGCCCCTTGTAGGCCACGTTGTGTTTGTTGGTCTTCATGTACTCATTCCGGGCTTGCTGCAGCCTCGGGTCCAGCATGTCGGCGGACAAGCGGCCCTGCCACAGGCGCTTCAACAGCAATGCCGACTTGGATGAGTAGTTCTCCTCCAGGTTAAAGGAGGCATCACCAGCCGCCCTGACACCTTCGGTTCTTACTCTGTTTGTCTTCAGTTCATCCGCGTTTTCTCGCTCATCTTCGTCGTCCTCCTCCTCTCCTCCATGGGGCTGTGCTCTGCTCAGGCGGTCGTGATGCTCCGTAGTATGGGAAGTCATTTCACGACTTTGGACCACCGGGTCAGAGTGAGAGCCCACATTCTCTGTGCCAAAGGAAGACCAGGCCGCCAGAGTCTGGGGGTCCATGTAGTCTTGCCGACCGACCTCCTGGCTGCCATAGTTGGCAAAGGCCGCGCTGCTGCTGGAGACCACAGAGGTGGTGTGAGACTCGGGGTCCAGCAAGGTGGGGGTCGAGCTGGATAGTACGACGGGGTTCTGCTGATGGGAGGCCTGGATGGAAGCTAGGCGGCGGGTATCGGGGTGCTGGGAAAACAGGGAGCCAACGGAGGTCGGCGACTTGTTAACGCGGGCATCCAGGAAGTAGGAGAAAAGGGCCAGAAAGATGAGAACCCAGGCCAGCATTCCCACCAACACGAGCCTCCTCCACTGCCACATGCTGGACTTCATTACTGAGGCTCACCGACAACAACGCCCTGCAGCTGGAGTGGGGGGTGGGGGCGGGGAGAGGGAGGTGGGTCAGGGTCAGCCAAGACGTCAGCTGGAGTGCCTGGGGGAGATAGAAAAATCATAAGGAAGGAAGATCTGGTCTGGTATGTTCACATTGTGACTTAAATTACTAGATAACATTTTCTTCCTGAAAGGTATGCCCCAGTTTTATGAGTTTTTAAACCAGGCAACACACTCGATTGTGTGACCACATTTTGAAAGTTTTTCATCGGGCAATCAAGACGGTAAATTAAAACCAGATAACGTATCATTGATCTCGTATGAAAAGCATATCTGTATGCAAGCAAATGTTTTCACGGATAAATACGTGACACTTGCAGTTCATGGAAAAAAAAAAAAACAGAACTCCAATTGTGGGTGTTTTTAGCCTAAAAAGAAAAAGAAAAAAAAATGGTTATACAAACTCTTGAATGGACATTGACAAAGCCAACCATTCCCTCATCTGCCTGAGTCAAATATGACGTTCACCTATCCTTTGTATAAAAATGACAGATTCCTGCATCCATAAAAATATATACAGTCTTCTTTGGTTCTTCTATTACGGCCTCTGTAAAGTTAAGAGCGTCTAAAGCAGTCATACATATTTTTGTCACAATCTAAAACAGTTTCCAGGTATCCTGATAAAAATCCTGACCGATTTGCATCAAAATACACAAACGATAAGTTTTGAATGACTGTATTAGAGGTTCTACTTTACACAGTAAAGGAAGTGAGTGAGTGAAGCTTTAAATACACATTAAGGTACCGCAACCTACCGCTACTTAGCCAAACCTAATTAGAAAAAGATGGTCTCTTAATGTGAGACAGGCTTTTCTCAAGGGGACGAATGGGGGGAGGGGGTGGGGGGTGGGGGTTCTCATCAGAGCGAAACCTTTCGTCGTAATTACAACTTCCTGTCGGTTCTGCCAGGACTTGCAGAGTGCAGCAGAAAGGCTCCCAGGCACCGCTGACATAAAGCCAACCCCCTTTAACCCTCCACATCCACATCCGCGCAAACACACCTCCTGCCTTGGGCCACACAGGAGGCCAAAGCTCGAAGGGTTGACCTCGCTCCAGGAAAACAGCGAGGAGCAACTGGGCCAAAGAGCAGTGATTGCATGGAGACTCCAAACACACATATCTGAAGTGACATGCTTTGTAAAAGCCTTGAGGCCACATCAAGTGGGAGCCGTGATTCATATGTCGCGAGTGTAGCAGTTCCAACACGTCTACAGGAGGTCAAATGCTTTCTGGTGGAAAAATAAGACTTTCGAATACACTGGAAGTCTGACTGACGCTCTCACTCTCCTTTTACAAATACAATAAGCACACAGCTGCCCCGAATGTCTTCGACAAACCAAATGACATCTCGAACGTGTGTGTAGTTTCCCCTCACCCGGCAGCATTCAGGTTTCCGACGGCGAGCATGAAACAACACGAGCGTACAGATGGTGAGGCGAGAGCAGAGGACGGCGTTTTGCTGAGGCTCTCCACAGAGCAGCACAAGGCAACAAGATGCAAAAAAAAAAAAAAAAAAAAGGATGACTATAAGCTCCAAAATGATGGGGTAGCCTCCTTGAGAGCAAGATGAATGTATTTATGGCATTTGGCTTTTAATTCATGTAAATCATACTAATGCTCACTGAGCTGTGTTTTCCATGTTCCTCTAGAGATGCATTTTGGCTTCTTATTCTGTTGAAGGTTACATTTTTTTTTTTTTTGTCGGACAAAACGCTCTATTATTAAAGCTTATGACGAATTATTGGATGTCTTAGTGGAATTTGCTGAAGACTGCGTCAAACGGAGAATTGAAGTGAATTTATTCATCTGAAACTGAGCATTCAGTGAGCTTGTTCTTATGAGAATTCAAAAGGAATTTGTTTGGAAATAACTGTTTTGTTTCTCGCTAACATAATTCCCTTTTTTTTTTTTTTTCTTCAGATTACTCCTTCGCATCCATTTTCAACAGGTTTTTTTTTTTTTTTCAGATTACTCCTTCGCATCCATTTTCAACAAGCCTTGTCTTCATTGAGGGTTTTAGGGGAGCTGAGGTTCGGGTTAAAGTCAGGGTATGTAGACAGACAGACAGACAGACCGACCGACCATTGGTCAATCATACAGACAGACAGACAGACCGACCGACTGACCATTGGTCAATCACGGGGGCAGGTTAGCAGCCGAGCGTGCATGTTCGGAGCATGTCAGACTTCCCAGAGGGGAATCCAGGACTGAAACGGGGAAAGAAGTAATTCCATCATTGTTCTCAATGTCTCAGAGCAAGGCATGATTTCCTACGGTGGTCTTTGCTGATGGGCTTTCCATTCACGCTCACAAATGGACAAGCAAGTCTCAGAGCAGAGGAAAACCACAAAAGAAAAACGTCTTCTTTGCAGAAGAAACTTTTCCATTACTTGTTCCAATTGATGTTCCGTGTAATCCTCCTCCTCCTCAATATACAGACGACATAGGCGACGTCAGAACAGACCGTCTTGTCTGTGCCTACCGCCAGATGATTGCAGGCTTGTGTAATCATCAAAATGACAGCACTTACACCTGTAGCTTGGACTGCTAAAAAAAAAATCTTGGTGGCTTAAAGCGCAGGGGACCTGCTAGATCACGGGTGTTAAACTAATTTTAGTTAGCGTTTCATTTGGAGGGCCGTTATGACTGAAACCATACAAAGAAATCAAGAATAACTGTTGATTCAACTATTGTTTAAGTTGCTGTCATGAGAGGTTTGGTAAAAAGTGTATGCTTAGAATATATCTCTTATTTATTACATGTGAGAATTTGAAATTTTGGTCGACATTTTAGAAAGGATCATGGAAGTTGACATGTCTGAGCTGCTTTCGCGGGCCACATGAAATGATGTGGCGGGGCCAGATGTGGCCCCCGGGCCTTGAGTTTGACACCAGCGTGCTAGATGGTATTGTAATGCCCTCACAAGCGGTCAAAGGTGGACACAGAATTTTTTATTTATTTATTGAACAAATGTACACGTGAGAACGACATTCATTAACCAGTTGCCGATTGATTTCCATTTTTTTTTAGCAACACAATGGGCCATTTGTGTAGTCGCTGATGGCGTAAGGGTAGACCCGCCTGACTTGTGTACGGGCAGCACGGGATCGGTACCCACTCGGTGACGGTGTGGATTTGGGTGTGAATGTTTTTTTTTGTCTCTCTCTGTGTTCTGCGACTGACTGGCGACCAGTTCAGGGTATCGTCTGCCATCTGCCCCAAGTCAGCAGGCATATGCTCTAGTAACTCGACGTGACCCTGTTCAGGATAAGCGGTGTTAAAAATGGATGGATGTATGTTCCTAATGTCAAGTCATTTGCATTCAAATGTAGACTCACAAACATTTGCTAACAGCTAAATATGTACTGCTAAATGTTAGCAATCATAAAACCAGATAAATCTAATAGTAATCCCGCCTATTTTTACACGGCCCTTTGATCTTGCAGACTGCCTAACCATTCGAGTAAGTGAGCACACATTGTGTGACTAAAACACTGACCGATGCCTCGTTCTTCATGAAGTATTAAAGACTCAAAGTGAAGCTTTCTGCCGGCATCTCCGAAAATAAAGCTTTAATATTTGCCTCTGAGCAGTCGAAGCGGGCGACAAACAAGCAGGTACATCACCGCGAGGCAACAACATTTTGCTCACAAACACAAGCACACATCAATGAAGGAATGTGTGTTGTGGGGCTTTTCCTGGAGACTTTGAACATAACACAGCTCCAGCTGCACCTACATTTACAACCTTAGCAATATGAATAAAATCCTAAAATACAATTTGTCCTTGACAAGGTTGATTCGGTTTACTTGAACAGTAAGAACGGTACTGACTGATTATTTTGATGAGCGATTCTGTCGATCATATAGGTGACTCGGATTTACACGCAGAGTTTCTGCGCGACCATGACGCTATGTACTACATGAGCTGCTTCGAGAAAACGATCAGGTTCCTATATTAACATCAATTATTTTTTGAATGACATTTAATCTATAAGGGTTAAATGTCACAATTTCCATTAAATTTAAGCCACAGCTCGAATTTTTGGATCTTGATGATATCTGAAGTACAATTAGAAACACCGCACATGAACATGATCCAAATAAAACTGCGACCTGTGTACACTGCACAGAAAAACTTGAATAGATGACTCCATTGTGTTCTCCCAGGGGAAGACAACAGATAAGGAATGACCAGTCGCAGAAGAACCAATAAAGGAATTATAAGACAAACCGAACGAAGCATACAGTAGCCTAGCTAAAATGTGCCGAGGCCAAAGACCATCTCACTGCATACTTTGTACAAAGTGCATTTTGACTGCTCGCTTAATTAGCATTTTTCTCGCGTGAAACATGGAAGAAAAATAAACCATAACAACATTGGCATCCATTTCCTATCCGCTTTTCCTTTTCAGTTGCTCTTTTACTCGAGCAGGTTTACCTGCCGATTGAGTAGAAGCAAATGTGGCTAAAGAAAAACTGGTCGGGTTTACTTTCTGGACCTGGAGTTGACGCTTCTGTCAGATCGGATGATTTGCATTTTGGCCGTCGATATAGGCAAATGCAATCTTGCTACCATGAATGACACCACCAGTGACGACATCCCTAATACAAGAACTGACAATTTCAAAATGATCACACACACCTTAATTAAAATGACATATTGTGTAGCATTTTCAATAACTGTCCTCTCTTCCCGCCCACAGGCGAATATCTGGCTGAAACTTTAATCAGCACGGAGATGCTGAAATACGACGACCGACATCAAAGCTTACTTTTCAAAGCTCAGAACTCACTTCACTACACTGACCACAGCTCTCTCATCCCTTAATGAACCCCTAAAATAAAATTCCAGGCCACATTGGCTTGGGTATTGGGGGTTATTATTACTGTGTAGTGCCCCCCCCACAAAAAAAAAAACTAACACCCTTGATTTATTTTCCCCCCCCCCCCGTCAGCAGTCTTTGTGAAAAAGATGCATTTTTACAGAAACCATTGGGGCACCAATGCTCTTAACCGAGTGACGATGTACCATAAAAAA